GTGAACTACGGTAGTGGGGAAGGCAGCCTCGATTGCCATACAGACATGCAGAGGAACGAGAGAAGAATATAGGGTGGATAAAGCGCCTGTTCACGGCATGGAGGGTGAGCCACACCGAACGTACCGAGCGAAGGGCCGAGCGGAAGGAGGACGGGGAAGATGACTCAGAGGAGGACGAACCAGTGGAAATTCAGTTGTCAGATGTCACGATGCATCCGAAGGGGACCCCAGCGCCGGCATCATCCGTAGAGGCACGAGTGTTCGAAGAGAGAGTGGACCTGAGCAACAACATGACGTGTAGGCAAATGATCGGAGTGGGAGTCAGAAATGTGGTCCTTGCGCGAGGGGAGCTTGATAGACTCGAGGGGCCAGGATACGCCGCGAGGAGGACGGAGTTGCGCAAGGCGAAAGAAGCCGCGAGAACAAGGGACCGGCAGGCGGCGGCGTCGCAGGACGAGGCAGAAGAGAACGACGCGACAGAGGAGGAAGTGACAAGGGAGAGACCGACGAGAGTGGGACGGCCGCGAGGTGGCATGAAGGTTGCAGCGAGAAGCGGCGAGAGACTGCGAAAAGAGATACGAAGAGGCAGACTCCCCAGGGTGGGCGACGGCTAGCGCATCACACTCCTCTCCTTAAAATCCCTGTGTGGTGGCGGCGTGCCGTTCTCCCATCCCTCCCTTGGGTTGTGTGTTTTCTTTCTTTCTTTCTTTTTCCCTCTGTGTTCGTGTGCGTCGCCCATCTCTCCCTGGAGATGACTGCTCCATTTATTTATTTATAAGGCCCGACGTGAATTCTTTCTCGCGGCGCTACCGAAGGCTGCGGAAGGGCGATGCGCACCCTCTCGAATCACGCGGCGCTGCAGCAGGTCTCGCAGCCCGCCGCCGACGGCGAGCGCCTCGCGGCCATCCTCTCCATTCCGGCCGCGGCCGACGACAAGGCCGGCTGGGCGTACCGCATCCCGCACGAGCTGGCCGAGTACGACTGCTTTGTCGAGTCTGACCCCGAGGACGAGCAGCTCGTAAGCCGGCTCGGCGAGGCCTCGGTCCTGGACAAGCCGCTCGCCCTCTTCCTCAGCGCTTCCCAGGCCGGCGCCGCGCAGCGTCTCGCCGACGCGGCGAGCAAGGGCGGTGCGTGCCTGGTGCGCATCGTGGTCGTGCACGACGGCGGGAACGTGGCGGCGGCGGCGGCGGTCCTCGAAGGGGTGGACGTGCCGACCACGTGGGTGGACGATCTCTCCGGCTCCCCCGTCTCGTGCCCCGGGGCGGCAGCAGTGTTTGCCGGCTTGCGCGAGTCTCTGGC